AGACAGGCAGAATAACAGACAGGCAGAATAACAGACAGGCAGAATAAAACAATATCCAAGTACAATTGTATAAAAGTTCCCAGTAATAACGATGTGTCTACCTTAGGACATTTATCAAATTGAAAGGGAGAAACTTCTTTAGCCCCATTTTAACTTTGTTCTGAAAATTTCTTCTGAAATGCTTTTGGTGGAGCAAACAGCAGAATGTATCTTCATAGGAAAAGAAATCTATTTGAAAACTTTCAATATTACAGGCTGGAAAAACGCAGTGAGAATATCTTCCTGCTATTAAAAAAAATGAAATAAAATTTTGAAAAAGTTAAAATCCTGTGACTGTTCTTGTTTCCCAGTTTTAGTCAAAATGATTGTCCTTCTTGTGGCAGAAATTGGAAGGGCAGAATGCAGTTTCAGGTACAGGAAGCAGGACTATATTTCCATTCAGACAGGTGGAAGGATATTTTAAAACTCAGTTTTTAGGTTCTGTGTTGTAGAAAGTGTAAGTGACATAACCAAACTGGTTTTGAGATATAGAAAGATTTTCTTAGTAAGTTTTATTTTTCTGCCACAGTCTAATAAAACAACTGGGGTTGTTCCTGTGCTTCAAGAATTGCACAGAGCCATCAGTGTTTATTGCTGAGTGTTTCCACTCTTACTGATGTTTTGCTTAGAAATGTTACTGTTTCCTCATACAAAAGCTATTTAATTTTGAAATGGATTATTTCATTAATGTAACACTTCAGTAGCCATGAATGCATAATTCATAATCACAGAAAGAATATGTGTTAATCTTTCATGTGTGTGGTAAAAGTACATGTGGATATCAGTAAAGAAAAAGTGAACAATGAGGGTTTGAAAACGTTATGTGGGGAAGTCTAAACTGAGCAGTCTGTTTGTGAAAATAAAGGTATATAATTGGAATAGAAAAGGAGTAACGGCAGGTAATTATAATTTTGATTCTGGGGTAATCCCATCACTGAGCAGGTTTTGAATGTTTAGCATAATCTGACTATTAGCATGAACTTGGGACAGAAGAATAAAGGCTTTGAGAAGCTTTAGGTAATGTGATTACAATGGCAGCATGGCAAAAGTTTAGCTGAACATATAAATCGTGCAGTAAAGCTTAAATATTGATAAACAGATATTAAATTAAAATCTGCAGGTGTCATAAACCACTAGAAGTTAGTAAGATGAAATACAGTCTGCCTGTCTGAAGTGCTTTAGGCGACCAAAATCAAAACACTTAATTACTGCTTCTAATTAGATTAGCATTCCTTTAGGAGTCCTGTGCTGCTTTTAGTTACAATTCTGCATTATAATCAGCATCCCAAGTGTTCCATGAGTATTTTGATTATTATGTATTTTCTAGGAAGTATTTTCCTTAATATGTTGTGTGTTGGATTAACAGACTTGCTGAGTGTATTCATTCTGCTTTTCAGGTCTAACAGGATTAAAAAATATTGGAAACACTTGTTACATGAATGCAGCTTTACAAGCTCTTTCCAACTGGTATGGAAAATGATTGTAAATGCAATTTGATATTTGCTTATGTGCATTTTCTCAAGATGGAAATGTTTGGTTGCAGCCTTTAAGGATGTAGGAAATGGAATTGTTCAATTACATAAAATATTATTCTTTTTATGTTGTAATCCTGCATGAAATGGGGATTTCCTCTTGTGTTTTAACAACCTTAAAAGAATTGACTGTTTTTTTCTTTTTATTCAGCCCACCTTTGACACACTTTTTTCTTGACTGTGGAGGCTTAGCCAGGACAGATAAGAAACCAGCAATTTGTAAAAGTTACCTCAAGCTGATGACAGAACTCTGGCACAAAAGCAGGTATTGCATCATTTTGGTGATGAAATAATAATAAATGGACTCCAGAGTCATGAAGGATGCATTAATCTGTCCTGAGTTTCTCATTTTTATGTTGTGTCTGTCACAGAATTTCTCTTAAATAAGGAAGGGAAGACTAAGGGGCAGGATTCAAACATTCCTCATAACCTGTTCTTTTCCATATCTGCCAAAGAGAGGACAAATAATTGATGTAAATTTGATCAAGGAAGATCTGACAAGAAATAGATTAAAGCATTAAACCTTTAAAAGTGTTTATATCTGCCAGAAACACAACTAAAATGTTTAACTATTTTTTCCTCTCTGTGTCCTTCGTCCTGCATTAATGTTTTATCTATTTCCTTTACTTCCTTATACGGAATTTCTGTCTAAGAAAATACTTCAAAATATAAATACAAAGGTAGAGAAACAGTAATGGTGCACAGTGCCAAAAATGTGTCTGATTTGTCATCTGATTCTCTGGTAAGAAATGTGGCATAAAAGGCCTAATAAAGTTTCTGTTGGATGACAGATTTTTTAAAAATTGTGTCAGTTAATAATTCAATACCAATATTAAGTTTAGTTAAGATTAAAAACATTGGTGTTCAGTTGCAGGTAAAATTATGATCCAAATAAAGATAGAAAATTCCACTTAATTGCTTGCTTTTTAACGTTTATGTATTTAAAACTTTATTTTAGGCCTGGATCTGTTGTTCCTACTGGTTTATTTCAAGGAATTAAAACTGTTAATCCAATGTTTCGAGGCTACTCCCAACAGGTAAAACTATCTGATGTCTTTTAAATCTACCTAAGCCATTTAAAAGCTTAGGCAGAAATCTAATGCTGAAGATACCACACTTCTATATTTGTTTAAAGCATATGCAATGTCAGTTTTAGTTGATAACCTTCAAATGCAGATCATCTGAAATGGAACAATCAGCAGTTAAGTCAGGTTTTATGTTTATTTATATCAAATTCTCAAAAGGCTTCAACTTCTCAGAACAACTTCTTTTCCTTTATTTCAGGAAAATTAAAGCAATAACATCAAAACCTTTCATTTGGGGGAAATAACACTGCTGATATTTGAGCAGTCCCAGAAAACAATATAAAGGTGTTCAAAAATCACAGATTATTTTTATAGTTATCTACCAGTGATATTTTTTTAAAAAATCAAATACTTAATATTCAATTTGCATTTACTATCTTTGGGAAAAAAAACCCACCATTGTGTGTTTTGGGAACTTGTTAAATCCACGTGGATTATTGTATTGCAAAGGCATTCTTCAGTTGATCCTTCATACATTACCTTGCTGAATTCATACAGTTTGCAGCATTTCATTAAAAGCTTTTGGGGCAGATGAAAAATTTCAACCCTGTAATTAGAAAAGCTTAGTGGTGTCTTCCAGGAGTCTTGTCTTTATTAAAAGGAATTTTGCTTTTTCAGTTGCTGTGCTTCATATTTGTGGAGTGGAGGATTAGAACACGTGTTGTAATGTAGATGTAAAGTCAATGTCCAATCTTCAGGGAGAAAAAGGAATTAAATATATTATTATATATCTATATTCTTTTGTAAAAGGATTGCCAGCAAAGCAGGCATATAGGGTTTTTTTTATTACCCAGACCTCAAGTCTGAAAGTTGTAATTTTTAAGAAAAAGAATGTTTTGTGATTAGCAGTTGTGAGCTTAATAAGTAATTGCTACGATGGATGGGAATGTTGAGCAGCAAAAATGAGTATTATGAACAACCAGAATACAGAAAGGAGAACAGAAGAAAATAGAAGCAGTAGTAGTTGCCAAGAAGAGCCTATTGTTTTCTCCCATGCTTTTTGAGATATTCTCTGTTGCCCAGGACCAGGCAGCTGCCTGGATTGATGAAATTTTAAGATGTTTCCAAACACAGATTAGATTCGTGGTAACACTTGACAGCTCTTTGTAGAAACACTGGCAGTTGGGGAATCTTGTGGAGGCTTCAGAAGAAGAATTAAAATCTTGTTGACAGTGTGATGCAATTGCAAAGACAGGCTGAGCAACATCACAGAGCTCTTTAATCAGGTGCTTCATGCCCAGGGAGAACAAGGCTCTGGTTGCTTTGCTGAAGATGCTGCAGAAGATTGAAAAAGTGCTCCTTAAAATGTTGTGTTCCAAGCAAAGCTGCAGTCTGACCAGACTCTTGGTAGTTCCTGGAGTTATGTTGATCGTTCCAGGGAGCTCTGGGGGTATTTTTCCTGAATTGAAATGTTTTGGAGTGAAACTTGTATGATGAGATTACTTGTAACATGCAAGAAATGGATGCAGGAAACATGAGTGGTCTGAAAATGAAATTTGTTTTCAACATTAGACACAAGACAGAGAAATTTATGTTATTCTTCTTTAACAGCCAGCTGTAGTTTAGTTATACATTTAGTTCATTTTAATTATCTCTATCTTTTCCTGATAATTACTTTAATATCTTCCAAGTAAAATGCACTAAGATGGTAAAACTTGTTTCAAATCCCAGGATGCACAAGAATTTTTGCGTTGCCTGATGGATTTGCTTCATGAGGAACTTAAAGAGCCAGTTGTGGAACTGGAAGATGCCCAGCCCATGAGCGTTGAAGAGAGTATGGAAGAAGACAAGAGCCAGTCAGAGCTGAGCTTCCAGCCCTGTGAATCCTGTGGAAACTGTGAGAAAACAGAAAACGACACCATTTTCAAACCCGTGTTGGAGGATCCTGCAGAAACAACCATGTTAATTCAGGAGGATGAGAACAACTCAGTCACATCCAAAGACTGGCAGAGAGAAAAAATCCCGAGCAACAAGCTGAAAAGAGCAAATTCTATGGAAGACTTGGAAAAAGACACAAACACTGCTTCAGAGACCACTGAATTCTTAAATAATCAGGGAACTGTCAAAGTGCAGATCCACAGCAGGTTCTCAGGTAATGCATTGCTAAGGTGCAATTAGAGTAGTCCAATTCTTAGCCAGGATATCTGTGTAAGTGGAAGTGAGTTAGAGAATATATTAGAGGTATAGTTCAAATAGGGGAGGTGATTGTATTGTAATCAATTTACCTTCTTAGTTTATTTTTTCAGTTCAGGTGTTCTGAATTTGATTTTAATTCCCTTGAAAAGGTAGCAATTTGTACTGGGTAAGGTTTCAGATAATTCCTAAATATCCAATGACCTGACACTCTGGTTTAATAAGTCACATGATCATTGTGTCTGTTCATTCTGCAGTAATTTTTTTTGGTAGAATTTATGCAATAATGGAAATATTAATTGCAGAATACATCAATGATGTTCACATGAGTGACATGTCTGCAGCCCAAAGCCCGTCATCAGTTGAAGGGATGAACACACGCTTGTCAAACAGTCCTCCAAAATCATTCTCATCCTGCTCTTCGCTGGCACCAGTCCATAAAAAAGGTACAGGCCCTTTATTTTCTCCCATCTGGAACTGAATTATTCTGTATTACAGTTTTCATGGTGTTTCTTAGGTCTTGTGTAACAATGCAGGGGTTTTTTATGCCCTATTTCTAGTGGAAGAGAGCATTATGTAAGCTGGACATATAAGATCACTCCTTGTATTTCTGTAATATTCTGATTCTCTTGAAGCATGAGTAATATTTACCTCTGTTTTGGAAGGATGGAATAACAGTTTTAGACAATTTTCTCAATTGCACTGGTTTGGAGAGAGGAGAAACGTGTAAGAAAAGGTGGTACCCCCAGAAAGGTAATGCCTTTCAGAGAACAAGCAGTTGGTTCTTCAGCACCAGTTCAGTAAATCAGCATTTCAGTGTGTTGAAGTTTAAGGAGCTGTGTGCAGCTTAAATCAGCATTTCAGTGTGTTGAGGTTTCAGGAGCTGTGTGCAGCTTAAATCAGCATTTTAGTGTGTTTAGAGGTTTAAGGAGCTGTGTGCAGCTGTACGTGCTGGCTGCTCTACAGCTGATAATGTCCCTGCAGTGCAGACTATTTCTTCTGGCACTCCCCACAGCATGGTGTGTTTATCAGCAGCTAGAATATTTAGACCTTTACTGCCTTTAGATACCAGCCAGTGCTGCTTTGGGACACAAGGAACAATATATTATTATTTTTCCCCTTATTTGTCTAACAGATTGCTTCAAGAAAAGCTCATCTTTGAGATTGTGCTTTTAAGGCTTTGCACCAAACCCAAAACTCATGCAACTTGAATATTGTGATCCTCTTTCATTCACCAGGCTGTCCAGGATAAGTTCTGAACATATTCATGCTATCCTTTTAATGCTTTAATTTAGTGTTGAATGGCAGTGGTTTAATGGACTTAAATCACTGACATCCTTTTGTTTTGAGGTTCATTTGTTCAGCAGTTTTGACACTGCATCTGTGCTGCTGTCTCCAGTTTTGGCTTCACCATCACAGGAGGGTTTTAGACAAACTAAAGCAAATCTGTCAGCAGAGGTACTGGGTGACTGGAGCCTGTCATGCACAAGGAGAGGCTGAGAGACCTGGGTTTTTTTAATAAACTGGTGTTAAGCTGGATTCTAGAGGTACATTTAGTCTGCTCCAAACCACTGGGATTAGTGTTGGGATACAATAACCTTGTGTGTGAGCTCTTCAGCCCAACATGGTTAAAACTTCCTGGGAAGTTCTGATGGAATTAAGTGTCAGGTAGAATTTTTAACTTTCTACCTTGGGGGATTGCTGCCAAGATGAGCAGTAGCAGTAGGCTGTAGATCCCAAGACTGGCAGTTTGAGTTTTACTTACAGAGGCAAAAGTTCCTGGTGTTTGTCCCCCATAAACTGCATGAGGACCCTGCATGTATTGACTGGTACTGGCTGTGTAATTTCTAAGAAATATTTAGTAAATAGTAAACAGACCTTGGCTCATAATTTAACCCAAAATACGTGTGACTTCTAACAATACGAAGCTGAAGGAAATCAGGATCTGCTGTGCTTTGATTTGCTTCAGCATTTTATTTTTGTCATTTTCTAGTTTCAGCTGTGTCATCCCCCAAAAGGAAGAAGCGTAAGAAGTACAGGAGTGTTATCTCTGATATATTTGATGGCACCATCATCAGCTCAGTCCAGTGCTTGACTTGTGATCGGGTGAGTAAGGAGACAAAGTTCCAGCTTTCAATATATTTTTTTTTTCCCCTCAATACAAATACTTACCACTTTATGAATGCAGTCCTTCTCTGGTAACTTTATATTCTTTTGTGGCAGATCCCTCAGAACATTAGGTGGTTTCATGCTTGTTCACTCAGATTGTAGTAGTAGCTACTAGCAGCACTTAGTGCTTAGAAGAGTTTGTATTCATTGAGCTGGATATTTACTCAGAGCTGAAAAATAACATTTTGAGAATTGGCTTTTAGCAAGGATGGAGAAAGAGGCTTGCTCCCCAACTTTACTTAGGTATGATTAGTTTTTAATAATATTCTCAATATCCCAATATCCTCAATATCTGCTACTGTCATAAGCTCTCAGGTACCTTTATCACAAACAGAAGATAAGACAATAATCTAATCATACTACTGGAACAGTCTTATCAGGTAGATTGAGGCTAACAAAATTCATGTCTTCAAAAAATCCAAGTAAAGACACTTTTACAGGAGATATTAGTTGCTTTCTGAACTTGTCCTCTACTGCAAGATGTGGTGCAACACAGGAAAAGCTGATTTTTTTTTTCTGTACTGTTTGCTCAGAGAATGACTTGGAACAGCACATGTGGTTATTTAAAAGAAGTCAGTTATCTAAATAGGTCCAGTGAACCACTTAAGTTTCAAAGCAATTGTATCAAGTATTGGATATCCAAATCCTTACCTTGGGGACAACTTTCTAAGTGTAAGTTTTAAACCTAACCCTGATATAGTTGCATGCCTTTAGTGCTTCTCTTGTTTGAGATCTAAGATAGTGAGACTTCACGAAAATCTGATGAGCAAGTTCAAAAAAACAAATCAGAATTTTTGAAGTTTGCTTGGTGTTCTCCTCTGGGATTTTGTGATCACTGAATGCAGCCCAGGAGCAAGAATCCAGCCCAGCTGGGCCTGCCACAGTGAGCCCAGTTACATCAGGTCAGGATAATGCCAAAGTAAAATAGTGTGGAAACAATGCACTGAAGCTTTCTGAAGTTTATATAACAGGAGCCTGAGGCAAAAATCATGGTGCTTTGTGTGACTGGTAGGAAGACAAATAATGATGACTTAAGAGAATGTTTCGGTGAGAACAACGTGCAGGTTCATTCAAAAATGTTATTTTTTGCTTCCTCTTTTTTAGAAAATGAATTCTTATTAATCTCTTTATTTATAATTCATTTGCTACCCCGTGGAATTTTCAGTTATACAGTGACTTAGTAGCTACTGGTGAACTTTACAGAATTGAATTTAATTGCTGTTTCTCTTCAAGCTTAACTCTGTGTTTCATTTGTTTTCTTTTTTAGCTGTCTGTAACTCTGGAGACCTTTCAGGATCTGTCCTTGCCTATTCCAGGAAAGGAAGATCTTGCTAAACTCCATTCTGCAAGTCATCAGACATCTCTAGTCAAGACAGGGTCCTGTGGAGAAGCCTATGCCCCCCAGGGGTGGATAGCCTTTTTTATGGAATATTTCAAAAGGTAAATCATATTTACCTTGTTTCCTTTATCTGTCTGCTTTGAAATTCTAGTTTCTGCTCTTCTGGCAGAGCATTTGTTGGTTTTCTTTCTTCTCTGTCAATGATGTTTCAGGTTTGTTGTCTCATGTGTTCCTAGCTGGTTTTGGGGTCCAGTTGTAACCTTACAAGATTGTCTTGCTGCCTTTTTCGCCAGAGATGAGCTCAAGGGTAAGAGGTTCATTACATGAACACATTTCTTCTGGGTTTTATTTCCCTCCTATCCCAATAAGATGATTAATATCTTCTTAGCTTGATTCAATTAAGCAGAGGCCACCTGTTAGACTGTTACACAGTCATTCCTTGTTCTTTTGGGATCATTCCTTTCACAAAGGTAAGCTTCTCACTCACTTGAATGTTTGAGATAAGAAATGCCCATGAAAGCTGCTTTAGAAATGTCAAGTAAATCTGAATTTGGTTTAGTGAAATTGTATAAACTGAAGGTTCATAAAAATTTCAAGCCCCACTATATTAATATTCCTTCTCATAAGCATAATTTGGACGTAATAAATTATTTCCCTTTTAAATTACACAGCATCATCTCTTTGGATTATGCTGTGCTGCTTCCTAGTTGAAAACATAAAACCTAAGAAGCTTTCTCTGTAGTTGCTATGTCAGCTCTCTTCCAACTGTTAAATATTGAATGCAACCTAAAGATAAATTCCTTTGAAATTTTTAAATGTATGCACTTGAGGGATAACTGTTTGGATTTAGAGAATAATGGCTGAATTTCTTCTCCCTGATATTTGCAGGTGATAACATGTACAGCTGTGGAAGGTGTAAAAAGTAGGTTGGCTTTTACCTTTGTTTTAACTTTGAGGTCTTTAATGTTGCTGTCAGTCCAGAGGCATTTATTTCTGTTGCTATGTCACAGTACTGTTCATTTTTTGATATTACCCCATGTTCTGGCTGTCAAAAATTTAATAGTACTGAGGTGCAGGGGTCAGGAAGTGCTGACTTACTGTCCCACATTGCAAACCAAATGTGCCAATTCTTTTTCATGCCCTTACAATTTTAGATCTGAGTTTGTTTTGATTGATAAAAGCTTTTAGCCCTCTCTAATATTAGCAGGTTTTCACTGATATGCTGCAGGTCACTAAGGTGTGTTAAAAGTAAGTAAATAAACTATGTCTTTAAATACAAAAGAACGAAGAAATAGAAGTGGTCTGAAGACTTCTTCAAGCCCTCTATGGTACAGAAGTGTTATTCCTTCTTGTATCTGCTGTAGATAATTTCCTAAAAATAAACTTAGTAGATTTTTTTTCTCTTTGGCTGAATAATCAGCTCTCATGGAACTTAAAGTTCCTTCCTTTATGCAAAGAAAAACTGTTAGCTACTTGGGACTTGATTATCTGTGTTTGCTGCTTTGAATTTTTCAGCAGTACAGATTGTCTTGTCCTCTAAAGCCTCACTGTTTGTATCATCTTGGCTGCTCCATGTCTAGTCTATATTCCAGAAATATTTTGGGTTTACTGATGTAACATTCAGCTTAGACTTTTCCTGATCTAGCACAATAAACTAAAAAGTTTTCAGAACTAAGTATTGGTTGTTTTGTTTTGTTTTCTTTGCTTAGGTTAAGAAATGGAGTGAAATTCTGCAAAGTGCAAAAATTTCCTGAGGTACAGTTACAATATGCACTTTAAAGCACTTTTGCTGCATGATTAGGAATGTGCTAAGACTAATGAGTTGTGTGCAGTAAATTGTGTTTATAATGCTGATGAAAGCCTATCTTCACATTGGCATTTGTTTAAGAATGTGAGCAATATTTGATTATTCACTCTGTAAGAAAATGAATCTTGTAAATGACAAGTAGAGTTATAGGAAGGGGATTTTTCCTATGTTGTTACTGTCAGCTTTCAGACAGTAACAACATTTATATTATTATATATACTACTGTTCATACTGTAGGTCATAGAATTAGACACCACAGCCAGACTGGAAGTCTTTTCTAGAAGTAACACTTGTAACTTTACATTTTAAAAGTAATCCAGTCTTAGACTTCAAAGTTATGAGTTGATGGCTGCAATAATCAGGAAGAATCCATGTCCCTCATGACAGGATTGTGCAATATGTGCACTGAAGAAGAGAAAAGGTACGTTGTCCACTGCTGCATCACATTGACAGGGAGCTGAACATGAGCCAGAGTGTGCCCAGGTGGCCAAGAAGGCCAATGGATCCTGCCCTGGCTCAGGAACAGTGTGGCAGCAGGAGCAGGGAAGGGATTCTGCCCCTGGACTCAGCACTGCTGAGGCCACCCCTGGAGTGCTGTGTCCAGTTCTGGGCCCTCAGCTCAGGAAGGACATTGAGGGGCTGGAGCAGGTCCAGAGGAGAGCAACGAGGCTGGGGAAGGGACTGGAGCACAAGTGCTGTGAGGAGAGGCTGAGGGAGCTGGGGCTGTTCAGCCTGGAGAAGAGGAGGCTCAGGGGAGACCTCCTCACTCTCTGCAACTCCCTGACAGGAGGGGGGAGCCAGCTGGGGGTCAGGCTCTGCTCCCAGGAAGCAGCAGTAGGACAAGAGGGCTCAGGGTCTTCAGCTGTGCCAGGGGAGGTTTAGGTTGGATATAAGGAAGAATTTCTTTCCAGAGAGGGTGATCAGCCATTGGAATGGGCTGCCCAGGGAAGTGGTGGATTCTCTGTCCCTGGAGGTTTTTAAGAGACTGGATGTGGCATCAGTGCCATGGGCTGGGAACCACAGCGGGGTTGGAGCAAGAGTTGGACTGGATGATCTTGGAGGGCTTTTCCAACCCAACTGATTCTGCGATTCTATGATCAGTGTTAGTGGACACAACTGATTACCAGCAAAAATCATCTGTGGAACACAAGAACTTATGTTGCTTCAGGTCATTGGGAAAAGTATTCTTTGGATGATAAAAGGAAAAGATGGCCTGCCCAGTTCAGTTAATATCAAATACCGTGTATAGTTCTTGACTGAATCTGTCAATCCTTCTTACAGATCTTGTGCATTCACCTCAAAAGATTTAGACATGAACTTATGTTTTCCACAAAAATTGGGACCCACGTGTCCTTTCCCTTGGAAGGCCTCGATCTTCAGCCTTTCCTTGCGAAGGACAGTCCAGCTCAAATTGTGACTTACGATCTCCTGTCTGTCATCTGCCACCATGGGACTGCCAGCAGTGAGTATGGGCTGGATTGCTTTGTCTTTGCAGTTAAAACTCACATCAGCACTTCCCTTTAAGGGTGGTTCCATATCCTGGAGGGTAAATAGATAATATACCTTACTTACACTTTATGTGCATTATTTATTTGGAAAGGTTTTACAAACCATCACAGAGAGGTCAGTAATTTTTTAAAAAGTTGGATGATCACTGCCCTTTAACCCCAAAACAGGCAGGAACTGCTATTTGTGGGTAGTGATACAAGTAGCTGAATAAACATATCATTGCTCTGTGTCAAGGTCATATCTGCCAAGATGCTTTTAATATTTATAAGATTTGGAAAATAGGAGAAAGAGAGGTTTTAAGCCAGTAACTTCATACATTATTATAGAAGTTACCCCCTCATATTTCTCAAACTTGAGGTATCCATTGTTTGAATGAATTTTTTTTCTTTCTTTTTCTGGCTGCCTTTCTAACATCCATTTAGTGCTTGCTAAATGGTGCTTCACATAATGAGTTTAGCACATACTTGATTATTTACCTACTGGCAGCTAAATATGTATTTAAAAATAGTAATAATTTAAAATATATGATAAATAATCTTCAAAACACAGTGAATTATGGTGGTGATATCACGTAGCTGTTCCACATCTGTGCTCTTTTATAATAGAAAGCATACAAAGATTTGCAAAGAGTTCATTGTGGGAACTGATTTGGGTTAATTGTTCAGTCTTACTCTGAATATCAGGACTGCATTAGACAACAAGCTGCTTGAAGAGTTCCAGAACATGCTGAAAGCAGTGGTGTTCAACTCACCACTGATAGAAATACAGAAAAAAAAGCTGATGTTGAGTTTGAAAGAAGTTGAAATCCAAATTGTGTCTGCTAATGATTCTGTGTTTCTCCCATTTAAAACTTGACTTTTTGGTTGGTTTTTTTTTAGGACTTACTTCCTTTTCATGTATTGCAGGGTAAAATGGGCAGCTCTAGACCCTTTTTAATAACTCTTGCTTCTCCCACTCTAGGTGGACATTACATAGCTTACTGTCGCAACAACTTAAATAACCTGTGGTATGAATTTGATGACCAGAGTGTCACAGAAGTGTCAGAATCCACAGTGCAAAATGCAGAAGCCTATGTTCTCTTCTACAGGTAAGAAATTTAAAGTATGATCATACCTCTCTAAGTCAGGTATGGAACTAACTTTTTAAGGAATTAGCTGCTCCACAAGAATTATTATGGAATAATTTGACCAACCAGAAATGCCTGTGCTGGAGAGAAACTTAATCCTTTATGAAAATTAAACCTGCACAAATAAAGCACAGTGAGATAAATGGAAAGAGAACTTCAAGCAACAATTAGAACTTGCCACCAGTTACCTTGTTTTCCGTTAGAGGAAGGGAATTCTGCTCAAGGGGAGGTTTTGCACACAGAAGGTTTTTAACTGTTAGAGCTCCAAATGGAATTGTGCAAAGTCTTTAACAGATTGGGATGTGGAACAACAGAGTTTTTACTGTGTTGGAATTTAATTTCAGGGAATTTATAATCTAGTCTGTTCTTGAAAATTGATAGGTGAGAAGTCACGTTATTATCATCATCTTCAGTTTAAGGGATTTCATTTTCAGACTTTTAAGGGTTTTGTTAAATAAATTGGATCTGACTTTGAACAGGTAATGTATTTTAAATGGTGTCATGGGTTTACTCTGGCCCAATTTTTAAAACCCACACAAAATTGCTAAAAGGTGAGAGGTTTCATGACAGGCAAAAGAGACTCGACATGAGGATTAATATTAACATTTATTGCTAACAGAATAGAAACTAAAGAGTAACGAAATACACAGTATTAAACACACCTTTTGATCAGAGCATTTGTTTTTTTCCTACTGTTTTAATCTTGGTTTGCTGTACGGTAAATAGCCTTGTCACTAGAGGCATTTTTTTACCTGAAGCTTTTCTGTTAGTATTGGACTCAACTTTAACGCCATAAATTAACTGAGGTGGCTCAGTTTTCGTGTGATGCTGAGTCAAGTTTGAGTTCAGAGTTTTGGAGGATGGAATGGAAGGTTCAGACCTGCTTTTGGAGAAGAGAGATTCTCTACAGTCTAAAACAGGAGAGCAGAGTTACTTCCACTTGTACAGCAGCAACAGTTTCAGTGAGAAAAGCAGGGGGACACAGGAAAAGGAGGGGAATTAGCTGATCTAATTCCTGTTTAACCTTAACCTCTGAGGGTAAGTGAGGAACATCTGCCCAAGGAGTGCAGCTGGCAAAGCTTTGTCTCAAAAGCAGCGTGGAGGAAATGGGCAGGTGGGCACAGCCCTTCTCCTGTGCTCCTGTTTGTAAACTTCAAACTATAGACATGGCCCAGGGAATTGACTTAAAGGCAGTTTTCCTTTCAAAAGTAAATTACCTGCACTGCACAAGGAGATGTATCTGTTTAATGATTTGTGTTTTGGTGACAGGAAGAGCAGTGAAGAAGCCCAGAGGGAGAGGAGGAGGATCTCGAGTCTGCTGAACATGATGGAACCGAGTCTGCTGCAGTTCTACGTTTCCAGGCAGTGGTTAAACAAATTCAAGACTTTTGCAGAGCCAGGACCAATTTCAAATAATGACTTTCTCTGTATGCATGGAGGTGAGGCTGTCACTGAGAATCATTAAAAAGCAATTTGTCAACTGCTAGCTGTAAACAGGGTGTACACTTCTTTTATTTAAAGGAATTTGACTATGTTAAGTTCATATTATAACTTCTTAGGTAAATTATAACTTCTAAGTAAATTATTTGTCTTATTTTAGTAGCTGACTAATTGGAAATTATACTGTGTGAAGTTAGCCTATTTTTTTTCTTTTCTCTGCACGTTTGATTCTGTTTTTAAACTTCATTCTTGAAGAGGATCAGCTTGGCAATATCTGCTTGCCTCCTAAACAAGTGTATTCCCATTTTTAAAAATCCTGTCACTACATCATCCTCCTCAATGCTTTCAGCTGCCAATTTAAATATTTTTCTCAGCTCTGTGCTAGAAGTAACGAGAAGGTTTGAAAGTTGTAGAATAAGAAATTGGTCTGATGCAGAGTATCCAGTGCCTAGCAGTGTGAAAATTGAGTAGTAATGCTGTATATTTGGTATAGGAGCATAAGAATTTTACTTTGTGCTAAATGTTAATAAAAATTAATTACACTAAGCAAAATACTTGAATTTTGAATAGACATTTTGTTGATGTGTTTACATGCACAAACAAAATATTGAATCACTAACATTTGAACTGTATACCTTAAGCTTTTTGAAATCTTGTCTAAGATGGATTCTAGCTCTTTAATTTTTACTATCCATGTAGTTTGCTCCTGCTTTTTATAAACTTTTCAGCTTCATAAAAGACTAAAATTTAGAGTGGTCTTTATAAATACAGTAATAGATTATACTGGGATAAAACTTGTGATTTCTCTGAATTCATTGAATGGTCTCCTCACCCCCACTAAAAATCCACAGGTCTTTTTGGTTGTTTGATTTTTCTTATTTGTTTTTGTTCCTTCTGCAGGTGTTCCTCCACACAAAGCTAACTTCATAGAGGACCTGGTTGTAATGCTACCTCAGAATATATGGGATAATCTGTACAGCAGGTAAGTTTGGAACCATAATTGGAAAAAAACTCCAGTGCTGCGGTGTGAGAGCAAATAAATGTTCCAAGCAGCAACATCAGACCTCAGAATTAGTGGCTGAGGAAAGAAAAACCACTCCAGGCACAAAGCTGAGTGAAGGGCTTGCAAACAGCCAATTTATGTAATTTTCCTGTGCAAAGCAGTGCTAAAAAGCTGCACAGAGTGGTGTGTCATTGGGGCAGCACTTCAATATTAAACCAATAAACACGTATGGTATGTACAAAATAACCAAAGTAGGTCAGCAAAAGTCCCCTTTGCAAGAGGTGTTTTGAAAGAGCTCTCTGTGGCAGCTTCCTGTTCTCTTCTTGGCCTGAGACAGCTTTTCTTTTCTGTTGGCTTTGAACCCACGGCCTCAGCTGCCAGTGCTGCTTCCAAATAACTTATATCTGAGTGTTCTGGAGAACCACTCCATGCTTTTTAATGTTGGGCAGGTTTAAGTGCTTATAAAGGGGGAATTCTGACAAGCTGTGGATCCTTTTGGAGTAACAAAAAGCTGCAGAGGAGCTTTGCTGATGACCTAAAAGACTCTGCATTGCACTTGCATTAAATATTTTTAGCTGTTAATTTCTTGCTACCTAAACACTACATCTAAAGGGTTGGGTTTTTAAATTTTGTATTGATGTTTTAAAGTTTTAAAGAAAACCAATGCTATTTGCAGCTTATTTCCACTTTTCCTCTATATAGTGAATTTTTCTTCAATTATCTAAATTCTGCACACAAAAGTATTTGTTGTTTCTGAAGGAAAATGTTTTTGAACTTCTCATTGATCTCCCTTGTCTGTGAATATCTTTAAGAAGATGTCAAACCTAAGTCATGTGATAGAAAAGTCCCAGAGATTGTGGGGTGCTCCAGATCTTGAGAGTAATCTGTTAGGTAGAAAAGAGGTGTGACTTGTTATGGCTAAACATGGTATTTTTCACAGGATTAATGTTGTTTTTTTTACTTTTACTGCAGATATGGAGGAGGCCCAGCTGTTAACCATCTGTATGTTTGTCATACCTGCCAAATAGAGTCTGAAAGAATTGAAAAAAGGAGGAAGAATGAATTGGAAATGTTTATTCGGGTAAAAAAGTAAACACTTCTCCATTCTGCTCTTTGACATCACCCAACATTGATGACTTGACCCAGGGCATTGCCAGAACTGCACAGGAGATTCCCATAACAAATGGGCTTTATTAAATATCTGTACACCTGTACACAATCCCTTCTTTCCTGATGGCAGCAGTAATGTTCTTGTGATATCCCAGAGAACTGTTTATATGGAAATCCACTTTTAATGTGTTTCTTACATTGCTTTTTTACAGTGTGGAAACAGTGCAGCCACGTGAGCAGCTGTTCTTTATACACTGCCAGTGGTCTGTTCTATGCAATCTGATAAGGCTTAAGTACAATAATACTGTGCCAACACAAATGTAATCATAACCTTTAGTTCTAATTTTAAAAAAGCCATTGGGCACATAAACCTAAGTAGTTCAGTGTGAAGTAAATATGGATCTGTAAAATTACTGTCAAGGAGCTACTGTATTTTCCATGAGTTAGATGATTATGTGCTTGAGTCTGAGTGGTAAAATAACCAGTGGTAGGGATTTATTCTTAACCCAAAAATGTGCTCTGAAGTTTTCAGTGAAAATAAGTGCAGAGATATTGGAGTCCCATTTCTGATATCTTAATTCATGAGGG